CCAATAACCAACACAGAAAAAGACAGTGAAATAAAGTTCTGTCTCCCTGAAAAAGTTCACATCTCAGGAAACCTCAAGATCTCTGTACTGAAGCAGTATTTTCTGGATATACAGCTGGGAGAGACCCAGGGCCACCCTCCTGATTTTGCTATAACTTCATCTGCTGCAAAACACACTCAGAAGGAAGATACTTGACGCCATTTTAAAAGACTCCAAAAACACTCTTCCTTCAAAAAAATGTGCCAGAGTGATGTGTATGAAGCAAGGAATTTTCCCAAATTTTAATGTCTGATTTAAAACTCACAGATCAGTGCTACTTTTCTAGGTAGAAGACAGAAAGGCATAAAAGGGCAGCTTTTTGGATTTCCTCTCTACCTTTCTACATTCCCATCCAAAATCACCTTAAAAAGATGCAAACCACTTCCCAGTTTTAAGAAAATATTTTTGATTTGCAGAAGAGATTGGCTATTTTATCAAAGCATCCCATTCTAAGCTGGAAAGACCTCATTTAATAACTTTTTTAACAGCTCCAACAGAGTTTGCATGTAACCCCAGCTCCCTCAAGGTCAGGCCTTCAGATACCTCTCACCCACACAGCTCCAAATCTCAATACCAGCAGAATCACAGCATCCAGTCTTTGTAAAAAACATTATATTCACACATATAACAAATGTTATAGTGCTTGTAGAGGAAAAAAACCGAACCAAACAAACTCCACTCCCCAAAAAATACAAAACGAAACCACAAACATAAGAAAACAATCACACCAGTACAGGACTCAACATAACCAGTTGAAGTCCTCTGGTACATGCAATTTTTACATCTGAAGGAACAAGCCAGTGAGGAACAGTCAAGATTTGGAACAGGGGAAAAAAGAAAAAAAAAAACCATCAAAACATAAATTTTCTTTTGCTTCTTATAATTTTCTCAAAACTAGTTTTTGAGGAAAGGAATAGGCAGAGGTGTGGATGGCATATGACTGAGGTGTTTAAAGCCACAGTTGCCCAGGTCAGACACAGACACCTGTATTTACTACAGAAGAGAAGACACTGTATGAAACACTCCAGTTGGGCTGCTTGGGCATCAAGAACCAAATCCATCACAGCATCTCGGCAGAAACAGCAGCTGGAAAGAGAGACACTAAAGCAGAGCTGCTGCACACAGAGGAGTGGACACACACTCACCAGCCACGGTTCATAGCTTTGGACTGATTAACAAAGGAAACTAAGCTGCTCACACCCGAATCATCTCATACCTCCCCACTGAAGGACAAGTAGGGTGGGTGGGGCACGCTGCCTTCAGCACAGAGGAGGACAGAAATGCCAGGGGAACTTTGCCAAGTCATTTTCCTCCTCTTCTCTCACTTCTTTAGTCCTCCAGTTCCACCAGTTAAAGTCATCAGGGCAATAAATGCCGTGAAGTAAGTTTGTCTAACGGCAGCTTAAGTAAGAAGTGCCCAGAACCAAAGTTGGACATGCTATAAAATTTTCTTGAGGTTTTGCCAATGTGTGCCAATGTGTGTCCTGCTGACAGTGACTGAACACAGCAGCAGCAGTTCAGTAATTTCCTTTTCCTGGAAGAACAGGAAGGAATGCAACACTATTTTAGCCTCATGTTGTTAAGAAAGTATTATACTGTGAACAACTGCTCCAAGCAAGTAACTTTGGACTAAATGATCAAGTTTGATTCATTCACAGTTAAAAAACTAACACCCAGCACCACCCAAAAAAACCCCTACTTTAAAAATCTGTGAAATTAGAATCTAAATTTAGAAGGGTAAAACATTACTAACTTAAGTGTGGAGAAGGATTGGAATTAAAGGTACAGAAATTACCTAGAATTTACACATGAAATAGACAACTTTATAGGAAAGGGCTACAGAATATCCGATGCTCAGATGTCCAAAGGGAGTTTATTATCTGGCAACAAAAAAAAAAAGAACAGAAAGAAAATCAACTGATGATAAAGAGCTCTATCACACCCATAGGACTGATGACAAAGGAGACAACATAAGTCACCCTCCATCAGCTGCCCTGCACAAAAGATGGAAAGAGAAGTAACAAATTAACACTTTCAATTACCATCGTTGTAATGGAAGAAAATTACATCAAAGCCCAGAAATGCATATTGGAATGCAATTGTACCACACTGCAAACCTACCTGCTGTCATTACAGGCTCAGACACCCTCTGCACCAGGAGATCTCCCTCCAGCATCCAAGATGGAAGCACTCTCTTTCTTTGAATAGATTTTGACTGTTCACTGTCATTATCGTCAGAAAGAGGAACCTGAAACAATATTTACCTTTAATATTTAAAAGGTACTGTTTAGTACCTTTATCCAGTTACAAAAGAGGGGAAGGAAACCAGATCACAGTTTCTACGCAGTTGCAGCCTGGGTGACCACTTACTTTTTTTTTTTATAGTTCCTACTCACTCAGAAAAACAAAATCTATAGAAACCCTCTTGCAGTAGAAAATCCCCTCTCCTTAGACCTTTGGAATAAATATCTACAAGGCTACAAACTGAAAGTTTCATAGAAGAGCTTCACCAGCACCTTGCTATAGAGTTTCCACACACAGACATAAGAGAAAGAGCAGGTTTAACAAATGCCTCTTTGTCCAAAAACCCCCAAATAATACAAACAAAAAACCCACAAACAGAAAAGTCTTGCTAAGAATTGTAGGAATGCAACTTGCATTCCTGCAATTCCCTTCTCCAGAATGCAACCAGACTCTAAATCCCTTCTGCAAAAACAATGTAAATACATCAAAGTCACATTCATTATTTACTGAAAGCAGCACTATCACACTGAACCTCCACTTACTGACAGACAAGTAAGTGTCCACCTCAGGGATCTCAGCTACAGCAAAGGTTGACACTTCATTTGTCGTGTGCAGTTGTTACCTGCTGTACCCCAGCATTGACCAATGTGTGGCTTTAGCACTGGATACACAACAGATGGTGTTTAAAAAAAATCCCACCAGCTCCCCACACTATTTATCAGACTGTCTGAAAGCCACTGGACTTGGTAGTGTTTAAAAAAAAAAAGACAAAAGATGCTCACTTTGAAAACTGTTTTACTGGACAGCCAGGGAAACACTGGGGAGTTGTTTATCCATGTGTTTGTATGGATCTTGACAACACAACTCCATCCCAGCTGACAATCCAAATGAAACAGGCTGCCAGGACACTACAAACAGATATTACTTATAGCCAGTCCAAGACATCCACAGTCCAACTCCAGGCTCTCCTCTCTCCTGTTTCAGAGGCTTTGGGGCTGGTTGGAACAGTCATTCATTCCCCCAGGCCTTCACAGGTACAGGGGCAGTTACTGATATGGACCAGAGACCAGAACTGGACTTTGTTCTGTAGTACTCAGCTCCAGCATCGAGTCCAAAACACTCCTGTAACACATTTATGTACTTGCACAGCACACAAATTTTGAGCAATCAATTTTGACTGCAGTAATTTACCTCTCAGGGGGAAAAAAATGGTATAGAAAGCATAACACCTGTGTAATTTTCAACACACACAAATAATGAATTTCATTAAAAAATTAAGCACCCACCAGATGTCTAGAGGCAGCATCATAATTTCTCATTTTTGCAGCTCCCTGTACCTCAGAGTTGGAACGTGATGGTTCCATTAACAATGGAATACAGGACATCTCAACAGCATGAACAGTTGGTGCTTCTTCTGCATCAGCCTCTTGAGTTTTTTCTGACAAAGCAAAATATATTTTAGGTACTCACACATCAGAAATATAAACATGCACTTTTGACTCAAACACAAAAGCTGGTCTGTATGTTTGTCACTGATAAATACACTTTGAAACTGAACATCAACATCTTATTACACCAACTTACAGAGGAAATAAACACACTTTTATTTCACCTCACACCTAAAGTATTTTGAACAAAAGACTCTCTAACCACTGCTGGCCCCACTGCTATAGTGTTTTAGGGTTTAAGGACAGAATTTACACTGGTCACTGCCATGACAAAACTTTGAGAAAGCTGAAATTACAGCTCAGAATTTGCTTTACTGTAAATCTGCACAATTCCCCAAACTCTGGTTCTACACTAAATGTCAGGCAATGATTTTAAGATCTGGTTTTCAGGGTTAGATGCTCAATTAATCCAGCACCTTCTGGCAAGTTCTCACTACAGGCTACAAGTCTGCAGCTCTCAGGTGCCACCAGCCACTCGGATGCTGGTTTCAAAAGCCCAGTTCAGAGCCACCACATCCAAAATGCTTTTTAAGTTGTGAAAATGCACCCAAACTGCAATTGTTTTCCCTTCAAGACTTTGCCCTTCCACTACTCAACTCACTGGCACAAAGCATTAGGGAAAAACAAGTCTTAATTGCTGCTGTATTCCCTGCACAGCCACGCTGGGGAGTCACTGCCACCTGTTCCTCAGCTCTCTGCACTCCAGGGAAGGCACCAGCTGAACTTTCTCTTCATTGCCTCAGGAAGAGAAGTGTGAGAGGCCAAGAGAAGACAGGCCAGGCTCTGCCCAAAAAGGCCCCTCCAGGGGCTGCTCGGGAGGTTTTGGCTCTCCAGGGGCTCACAGAATAACCGAAAGGGTCAGGATGGAAGGGACCACAGTGGGTCATCTGGTCCAACCCCCCTGCTCAAGCAGTGTTATCCCAGATGACGGGCACATGGCACAGGATTGCATCCAGACAGTTCTGGAATATCTCCAGTGAGGGAGACTCTACAACCTCTCTGGGCAACCTGTTCCACTCACACAGTAAAGACGAACTCACACCGTGAGTTCTTCCTCACTTTCACTTCCTGCGCATCAGTTTCTGCCCGTTGCCTCTTGAACTATCGCTCTGCGCCAGCGAGCAGAGCCCGGCTCCATCCTCTTGGCACCCCCCCCTTACAGTTATTTATACACATTAATGAGGTCCCCTCCCAGCCGTCTCTTCTCGAGGCTGAACAGTCCCAGCTCTCTCATCCCTTCACCCTAAGAGAGATGCCCCATTCCCCCAGCCATCCTCGCTGCCCTCCGCTGGTCCCGAGCGCCCCCCGACACGGACCCGGCGGTGCCCCGAGCCCGGACACGGGGCCGCGGTGCTGCCTCTCTAAACCCCGGCGGACACGACCCATCCCGGCCCTGCGAGGGGGTGTCGCTACCTCGGGCCCGCGGCTCCGCGGGGCCGGGACGGGGATGGGGACGGGGCCGATCCCGATCCCGGCAGGAGCCGCCGCCGCCTCCTGATGACGCGCGGCCGCCCCGTGACGCGGCGAGGCGCCGGCTCCGCGGGCCCGAAACCGCGGAGATTCGCCCCCAAAGAGGCGAGCCAGTACCCTCCCCACCCGGACGGCAGGGACATGGCAAGTGGACACCCAGCCCCGGGCGCTGCCGCCCACGGCCGCCCCAACACACCGCGACAGCGGCCGCGGTGACGCCGCCCCGCCCCGGGGCCGCGGGGATGGACGCGGAGAGCGCCGGCGGCCGAGACAGCGCTGCAGGAGGAGGACCGGGGGGAGGAGGAGGAGGTGGACAGGGGGACTTCGTGTCCGCCCTCCCTCCCGAGGTGAGCTCCCGGATTTTCGGCGGCCTGGACGTGGAGAGCCTGTGCCACGCGTCCGCGGCGTGCAAGGGCTGGCACCGCGTCATCGAGGGCAACGAGCGGCTGTGGCGGCACCACTGCCTGGCCGTGCGGGCCGTCTGCCGGCGGGAGATCGACTGCGACCGCGGGAACGGCTACTCCTGGAAGGTAAATCCCACCTCGGGGACACGGCGAGGCTTCCAGGTTGGGCGGTGGGAATGTGGAAGGAAATGACATCGGCGCGTCTCGCCCCATCCCAGGGTGATGGGGGCAGCGGTGTGGTGGCAGCGCGGCTCCGTAGCCGGACAGCTGGTAAAATGGACTGAGAAGGAAGGCAAGGCTGTATTCTTTTTCCTACTCAGGCTGGCCTTTTTCCTGCCCGGGCTGTCCTTTTTCTTGCCCAGGTCCACACCTGTCACATCCCGGTTGTTCCTCACCCTGCCCTGCACAGCCTCAGCGCTGACCCTCGTCCCAGCAAAGCCGTATCACGGGACAAAGCCCATGCAGACAGGGCTGGGAGGGAGAAGATAACATAACGCTGACTAGGCAGTGTGTGCTCTCTGTTTTTATTTCGTGGGAATAGGTGTGCTGGTTACGAATGGCTTCCTGGAAAATCATCCTGGATAGCTCTGCCTCGATACACCTTGAGCGACAGGCATCCAGCAGAAAAAAAATTTGGGGTATGGAAAAGAAAACAAGCAGGAGCTTTTAAAGGCTGTTTTGAAAATTTCCCCTAACGCAGTCCCAGTTACAGGTGGTCTGACGAGTTAGGGGCAGGTTCAGCTCCAGAACATGCTGGATGATTTCTCACTGTGGAATCCAGCCTGGAAGCTGAGGTAGATCAGGAAAGGATCTGGTAACAGGTTCCACAGGGTACTCTGGGCCAGGTGATTCCCCCACCCTCAACTGAGCTGGTGTGTTTAAGAGTGGGGGGGCAGTGAAAGGGTGAAAGAGAAAGAAGCAACAGCAAAAGAAACCAAGGAAGCCACAGTTCTGGGCTCTGACATTTCAGTAGAGTTGCTGCACTGTGAGGTAGTGGTTGCCCTTTTGGTGTACAGAACTTGATACTCTTGCACAGCAATTTCCGGAACTCCCTGCACTGCTTGTCTGTTTTATCTGGAGGGGATTTGAAATAGAAGCAACAAACACACCAAGTCAGCATTTTCTTACAATGAAAGGTTGACGGAAGAGAAGAATCCAGCCAGCCTCCAGAGTTAAAGGTCACAGATAACCTAAACAGGAAGAGAAAGTGAAAGGTGTCTCTTTTAAAGAGTAAGATGAGTTCCTGGTTTAGGTTTTTCATCTTGACCATCAAAGAATTGAGGCAGGAATTGATTTTCCACCCAACTTTGAACAGAAAAGTTGGAAGTAGACAAAGGTCTGCTTCTCGGCAGCACTACACCTTCCTGGGCTTAGTGTCTAGAGATCCAAAGGCACATTCCAAATCCTTTTTCTAGCCTTATTCTTCCAAGGCAAAACTTACTTGTGTTGAATGCTGCTTAAATTGTTTCATTTCCAAGATCTGAGCAATTTGTTTTTCCACCAGATCACATTATCGAGGAACTACTGGAAAAGCAAAGTGAAGCAAGAATGGCTGAGTGGGAAATACAGCAACATTCCTTCACAACACAGCTTGCCAGAGAAAAGCATGTATCCCATGGATGTCGACACATGGGGAGAAATCTTGGAAGCAGAACTTGAAAGATAAGAAACCAGTGCTGATTCTTGCAACTCAAAAACCTTTTGCCAATGACACACAAACTGTTTGGCAGTTGTCAAACTGATTTTGAGTGATTTTTAACTGATTTTCAACTGATGATGAAAGTTTCTCAAAAGAAGTTACGGGTGTCTTTTTTTTTATTTGCACTTTATCATATTAATTTTATGTAAAATTCTAAATAAGACTAATGTTCAGTTGTAATTTATATTTATAAATTTAATGCTCTGCTGTATTGTCAAAAATATGTTGATTGTATTTCAATTTGCACTTTTTCTTTTGAAAGAGATGACTTTTATTTAAAAAAAGAAAGGTATGCTTGACTTGAAGTGTATCCTACCAGCAGCACATGAGAGCCCACAAAGGAAGGACAAATACAGACACTGGAAAGAAAAGAAGATGACAAGGTGGCCACCTCAGTATCAGCTGAACATTCCCAGTGACCATCTCAAGGGACAAAGTCCTCAAAAGGATCTCTGAACTTGCACCCCAATTTTTGGCTCCAACTTGAAAAACTGCTGCTGGTAAAAGAGGATGTACCTGTCACATTATCTAACATAAAAGTGACCACAAATTCAACTTATTACAATTCTCTTTGAATATCATCTTTCCCTACCTTCTTTGCACTAAAGTAACTGAGGAAAATGCTGGGAAGGTCTCTGTTGCTCCAATTCCTGCAGAATTCAGTCACCAATGTGGCACCAATTTTCTATAGGAAGACTTCTACCATGGTTATGAAACTTGGTTATTTAACCCTTGCAGAATATCTGGTGAAAATATCCGGGCTCACAGGCTGTTTGTTTTAGGTGCTCATATCTACAGATCAAGCAAAAGACATAACAGCCAGGTGAAACAGGTAGCTCTAAAATGCTTCCAAGAACAGAATGTTGCCTGATCCTTTTTCTAGTTTAGAGCATTCAGCAGATTTCCTCAAAACTGATCCATGTCCCTCAGCTTCCTGCATGTTCCCCATTAGAACAGGTCTTCAGTCAATAAGCACTAGTACCTTTTCTGAATCATAAGTAACATATTTAAGTGAGAGCTTTGTCATCAACAGCACTGCATAACATGATGCAACTATTGGATAATGTTTTTTACACATCTTTTGCAGTCTATTCTTTGTAGATAAGTGTTAGTTCTAGGAGCAGGACCCCACTGCACTAGGTTTTAAAGATCTCCTTTTAGTGCCAAAAGAGTTGATGCTGTTCTTGTGGGACAGTTACTGCATTAGCCAAAATGGATGCAGTACCCAAAATCCCCTGAAGCTTCTGCTGTCACCCTGCTACTGAACATGACTGAGGTGTAGCTCAGAGGAAAGAACCCTTGCTAAGTATAGGTGTGATGCAAAGCTCAGTGAATTGCCAACACTGCTTCCTCTATTATTAGCTATTCTGCTCTAAGATTATATCTAGTTAGCTCAAATTAAAAAAAGAAACACACCAAAACCCACACCCAGGCACATCAGTTTTTCACCAAAGCCTTGCTCCCTGCTCACAGCATTTATCACCCCAACTTTAGGAGCACTAGAAGTGAAAAAAGTGCATATGAATTCGTAAAGAAAATAACACTAGCAGTACATTTTCACCACCTCAAAAGTACCCAATTTTTTTAGTCATAAGATAGGGAAAGTGCATAATAATGGATCTAGTCCCTCACCCTTCTCACCCAGCCTCCTCTGTTGCCTTCAGTCTCTAACTCCCAGACATTTATCCCCTGTTCCTTCTCCTTTCATGCTCCTCAGCTGTCAGTTCTCATATATATCCCCTCAGGATAGTTTTTAAATAGAATAATTATTCTGGTGTAAGTCCTACCACAGTTATTTCACTGTGCACTCAACTGTAGCTTCTCCCCCTTCTCATATGAGTGTAGGAACCCGCAGTATCTGTTGTACCTGTACCTCTGTTCAGATCAGGTGGCTGTGCCTCTTAAACATGAGGAATTAAACACTTGGCTATACAATTAGACAAAGCCTGGATCTTTAAACCTGCAGTAACAGTGTTGTAAGTTTCCCATGGAAAATCTATTACTGAAAAAAACCCACAAATGTTTAAGTACAAGTTCTCATAAAAACAAAGGTTATTTCCCCTCTCCACCTTGACTCTTTCCTTTAAGGGTTTTAATTCCCCCTGGAGATGTCATTACATCAATTCTGGTTACCTGTTCTATTCCTCTCTACCACTGCACCACCTACTCAGCCTCTCTGCTTCTCTGCAGGATGGATGTGTCCTCTTTCCTTTAAAGACACCCCAGCAGCATCCATTGCTCCAGACAATGGCACTCCCTACACCAGCAGGTTTGGGCTCAGCTCTTTCCCTTCCTACCTGCCAACAGCAGCCACTGAAATGCCAGCAATAGGAAGATTGTAGCAGTGCCTAAATTAGCACTCATACGTGGGTATCCTTCCCTAGAGAGCATCCTCACCCCACCTGCACCCCAGGGCACACACCAGCTGCCCTCATACCTCGGTGGCTGGTGAAACCTTTTTTCCGCTCCAGTGCCCACCTCCTACCCACATGTTTTTGAGGAAGTGGAAAGTTCTACTTTAGCAAACCCCACCGACCTTCCTACTGCGTTGACACGCCACTTCTGCCCTCCCACTCAGACCCTGTCAGCTGCAGGAAGGTCCCCGAGGCATCCATTGCCCAGGCTTTCCATCAGCCACCCGACCTTCCTGCTTCCCCAGCTTTCCTAGGACAGAGAGGCCCTTTGGAGAAAGCACGTGAAGCTTGTGTGGTGCAGAACAAATAGCAGATGTCCTCTTCCCACACACCCCAGCTGTGCAACATGGGCTTAAACCAGCCAGGCTTCTGTGGGGAAAATAGGTTTCCCTGCTGCACAGAATGTCCTGAGCTGCTGCACGCAGCTGGATGTCAAAAAGGCCAGCACTGAAGTTCAACATGAGGTCAGTATTTTATTTCTGCGTCTCCAAAACCACCTGTGTTATAACCTTCTTTGCAACTACTCAGTATTGCAGTGCTCTATTTCTGAAACAAGGAGCCACAGTGTGGCTTTATTTCATCATGGTGCAGGATGTGGCTTTGGGCCATTGCCATTAAAAACTAAATGAAAAAGCAAGCATGACATATTTAATCACCACAGACTTTTCTTCATTAGACCACTCAAATTTCAAGGGTAATTTTGTCAAGTGTTTGTGCCAATAGGCAGATACATGCAGATAGGTACATCCCTATGCTGGTCATCTTTGGAAGGTTCTGAGTAACAGAGTTATCGCAACTGAAGACAGAATAGTTGGGCTCAGGACTGGGATCAGCTGCTTCAGCTCACCAGGGCTGACAGAAAGGCAAGAAAAGCATACAGCTGGGAGGGTTTGGGCCATGGGGGAGGTTTTTTTATTTTCTCTCCAAATGAACTTGGGCTGAGGCATATCAGGTTCCCAAGAGCGTGCTGACACTTCGCAGTTGTTTTTCACCATATCGCTCATTCAGAAAAGTCTGTCTCAAAAACCACAGAAGAATTCACCTGCTGCACTTAATACCACAAGTCGTCAGCAGCTTCTGATCAGCACAACACTCAGAATTGGGGGTTGGGGGCAGATTCAGGCCTCAGTGCTAAGGGCAAGACCTACTTCTGCTATACTGGTAAACCAAAAAACCCAAGCTACAACTGTGGGTAGAAAGGGAAGAAGGAGAGAGGTGATGGTCAGCAAACTCAGAGATCCCACAGGATCTACCAGGATGAAACCCAAGAGGACAATTCAATGTATGGCCACAGTGAGCTGCAGCCTCCCCTAACTCCTCAGAATGACCCTGTCCAGCACCACCACCCATGTCCAGCAACTGTGGATTTACAAAGCCAGATGGGAATAAAAACCAGCCTGCTAGAGCATGCAAATTAGGTACAATATTAGCTTTTTTTTACCCACATTTAAAAACGTTTTGAGCACAGCACATGCTCATTTTGATGCACTGTCCTTAACAGGCAGAGGAGCTGCTGTGTGCCAATACAGAGTGTAACTGCACAGGCTGTTCTGTTGCTGAGACACCAGGCACTTCAAGCTGTACACAAAGGCTTCTCCAGATGCCACAGGACACCAGTGGCCATGAGATTATGTATCAGCCATAGCACTAAACATTGCTTTTAAACATCTTGATGGTGTCAGAAATGAAAAACAACACACCCTAAAATGCTGCCAGCTGCCTATGGGAGGATTCAACTTGAAGACTGAATTGAAGGTTGAGCAAGTCAGGAACAGAGAGTAAGCTTCCAGCAAACAAACCAGCCACCTTAAGCCTTTAATTGTTATAGGGGGAAAAAAAGAAAAAATTAAAAAGGCAAAATGATTTTTTGCAACAGTATCTTACAGCTAATAAGTGAGATATAACAGTAAAGTTATATAACAGTAAAGTTCTCCATGAGAACTTTACTCATCTGTTCAATTGAGGGAATACTTTCAATAGCTTCTACTACTTTTCTATCACAATGCTAGAAAACAAGAGCACTGAACAAATGTAGCTAGGAGATCCTAATACCTAGATTTCACCAGGTACAGGATGCACTATTTGACAGCATAGCCAATAGTAGCAATGTCTCAAGTTTCCTTTAGTGTGGCTGACCAAATTAAATCAGCTTTTCTAATGCACCTTTATTTTTGAACACCCTAGTCTGTATTTTCTCACTAAATTAGACTGCTCTTTAAAGTCATTCCAACATGCAACTCGTCAACATATGTACTTAGAGATAATGACACTGGGGACTGCCCAAATATGGAGATTATAACGACACCCAATACACATAAAGGAACCCCACATGTAAGCATGAGGAGATGAGAACAGGTTTTTGCTGTTCTAAGGGGGTAACTAAAGATCACACAGTATGTTGTAGCCATTCTAAAATGTCACTAGGCATTTACGTTTACTTATCTGAGATCCACTTTATGATGCCTAATAAGCAGAGACAGAAGCTCTCTTTTAGGATGTTTAGGTCAAACTAGTTTTAAGAAAGAAAATACGGCATGCAGAAGGAGGAGAAAGGGGAAATTGAAGATGTAACTTGGGAAAGAAAGCCTTCTTTTAAGCAAAAATATTAATTAAAAAAAACAAAACAAAACAAAAAAAACACCAACAACCCCCAAACCACAAACTAACCTTATTTTACAACTTATATACCAAAATGATGAAATAGTTCCTTTTATTAATCAGAAGCCTGCATAAGGGGGTTATAAGTCTGATATAAACAACTCTTCCTGTTATTCAAAAATACCTCATAATGTTGATTTTGTTACTGTACTTTAACCATTATATACTTAGGAAACACAGCAATTTAAGCCTTCAAAAGCAGGACACCTACATACACATATAGCAGAAGCAGTGAAGGACAACAGTGGTTTCTTGCTTTTCTTTTGATATGCTTTGGTGCTTAAGGAAGGATTTTCATGCTTTTCCTTTTTATGTGGAAGAATGTACATGAAAAAAGACTGATAATATATTGATTTATATAATTGATAGTCTATTAGTCTGCAACAGGTTGTTCTACAATATTTGCTAAAGAGAAGGGGGCTAATGGCAACACTTCGTAAAAGTGCTCAATGTCCTTTTGACATCTGAGTCTGAGTTGTTTGGGGTTTTTTAATGACACTAGTCAATCCCCAGTTCCTTCTCCTCTCCCTTGATCACTCTGGTTTATCAATATTCAAGATTTTGGTGAAAGACACACTGCATGCAGATTTTAAAAAACAGTAACAATCTCTCTCCCTTTCAACTGCTGGAAGCAAAATTTCATCAGTTTCATCAGCGTTTCCCTTTGATTCTTTTCCTCCTTCCTGCTCAGCCATCTTTTAGCAAGTGGATGAAACAGAGGGAAAGGTATTGCCATCTTAAAAGAAAGGCAGAGTCTATGTAGGGGAGTGAACAGTTTTACTATAGCCCAGTGGAAGTCCAATGAAATAAAAAAAAAAGGCAGCATTTTACTCAGCTTTCATACAACCTTACTCTCCCTTTCACCAAACTGGGAGGAAACAAAAATTAAGCAATCTACAAGAGCCAGAAACAAAGCGTGGAAAGCCACAGTTTTGGTTCTAAATGCAAAGCAGGAAGTTTGTGTTCTAATCCAGAAAAAAACCCCAACCTTATTTTGAAGCCAAACGAGAAGCTCTATTTCAAGAAGTTTCATGAGTAACAACAAAAGAAGAACCTTGTTTTCAGTCAGAGTTCACAGTGAGCACAGAACAATCTCTATACATCAATGAGAAGACCACAGATCAGAAGTGAAAATATGTGCACTTTCCAAAACACAAACTGAAGGCACCCACAGAAATAGCAACAACCTGCAGAACAGTGTTATCTACTCATTTTGCTTTTTAAAGTTCCTCCTGTAGTCTCCTCCAGTTTTAAAAAGTACAAGCTGAAAAAGAACAACAAAAAACCCCAACCCATCCTCACCCCACTGCCCTCCCAAAAAACTCCCACCCTACTAAAATGTTTCTGGCCCCCACCAAAAAGGTTATTTAAGGAAATCTTTCTGGAATTTTAATGCTACCTAAGCCTGAATTCAGAACAAATAGAGGCACATTGCAAACAATGAAAAGCACTTATCAAGAGCCCTGTGGAGCAAGTTGTTTAAACTTAAAATAACTTATCAAGTATTTGAGAACAAATTAGGGGGAAAAAAGAAATTAGCATTTAACATTTGTAATAAAGTGATCTCTAAGTCAAAGACAGAAGCAATACTACTGCATTGAAGAGTTATCTGCAATATTGCAAGGAGAAATGAAAACAACAACTTTGTCTAAAATACAAGTTTGACAGTAAATGTTGGATCATACCTCAGAGACCCTAACTAGTTTTTTCCTCTTTATGAACACACTTTGATTATTACTCAATAAACTGTTCTGTTGCTGAAGTATATTTTTAGTAGACCTTTAACACTGTTAACTATTCTTACAAATAGAAAGTGAAGACAGAACGCTGCAAAGAACAGCACCAATATAACCACATTTAGCAGCAAAATAATACTGGCCTTACCTTTCAGAAGAAAGCTGCAGGACAGGGAAAGTTCACAACTCTTGGAAACTTCTGCCAGAGACTATTAAGCCAGAACTACCTCCATGTGTGGTGTTTGCTGGATTATAAGAAGCAGTAACACCTGTGGCTGAAAGCTTGTTGGGCTGTTGCAGTCCCCGTGGTTGTTATTTTTTCAGTGCATGTGTGTGTGGTTTGCTTTGTCCTGTTTTCTTTTAAACCAGGGAATTAGGAGTGCTGTGTCTACATGGGTGTTTTTATGGGTGTGTGGTTAATAAAGGTTCCCAAAAACCTGACCCTAACTGCAGTAAGCACATAGTTGATACTCCAGGGGAGGGAAAGCTGCTCCCTCCAAGATGCGATAAATCAAACATTAACTTAAGAGGATATTTATAGTAGATTATATCATACAAGTCTTTCAGTAAGGGAAGATTATCAATATAGTCCTTATCCACAAGGGTTTATTTTGCTGTTCTCTATGAAAGAAAGTCTTAATTCGTATAAGTAAAATGAAAGTAAAGTAAAAATGAAACTGATGTTGCTGTAAAAATTGCTGAGGGTGTAGTAAAAGTGTGATTTAAATAGTTAGAGGGTGAAAGTTAGATGAAGCATGACACATGTAGGTCTGCTCTTCTGTTTTTCTCCTTTTGATCAGTAGTTCCTCGCACTAGACCTGCTCTCACTTCTCTTGTGCTGGTATTCAGGATATGTGCCTCTTCCCTTCCATGCCTTCTAAATAACTAGGCTGGCTTCATCACCTCTGACAGACTTGTAGGTGCTTTTTAATACTGAATTCCCATGGCCAAGATCTTCCCCCTGCTGCCAAGAAGCAGAGGCACCTGCAAACCTTTGTTCAAAAGCACTGCCTATGAGATTAGAGACCCTATCAATATAGTCTGGTACAAACATCAGAGCTCTTCCATAAATACACTGATGAGCATCCTCTGCCTGAGAAAACACTGCTCGCAGGTGGGCAGGGCACGAGGAAAAAGGACAAGGCCATAGACTGTTAAAATATTTTAGTTTTATTAAAAAGTGGCAGTCACATCCTTCCATTGGTAAGCCGGACAAAGTTTCTGTTGTTTGCTTGTGAGGGGTGGGGTTTTTTCTATTTTCCTGTGCCCTTGGGTATTTTTGGGTTAGTGAGCTCTGAAAGCAGAAATAGGCAGTGACAAGCAGCAATTATCAAGAAAGCAGGCCGGGAAAAGCAGTGTATCTTTTCACCATGAGTCTTCCTTCCTCAGAAGGACACACTAGGCTTCAGCCACCCTGTCAACTTGCATAAGCGACAGGAAATCCCTGCCAGAAGCTGATTTCCACCAGCTGTCTTAGATGGACATGATGATCCACTGTCTCCCAGCCTGCTGTCCCTGAAAGGCTGTGTTTTCTTTGGGATAAATAACACAAGGCAACAGAGCTTCAGGCTCATTTTCTCAGCTACAGGTATGATTAAGCAAAATGGAAGAGAAACTTTAGCTCCAGGTTTATCATTAGATTGGAGAAATCCAAATAAGAAGTTTTAAGGATAAGGTACCTTATTAGGTCTGCAAACAGAGGTTTAGAAGTTTTGAAGTTGCACTTGGAACAGTCTACATGCAAAATCTGACATTAACTTGACTTTCAACTCCTGCTTAGAGTTTAAGACTTGGAAGTTTGTTTGATATACAGTCAGACAAAAATACAAGGATAGATCAGGTAACCTGATCCTGTCAAATAATAACATTTATTTCAGTTACAGCAAGGACAAGGTTCCTCTTAAGGTACAGAATCAAGGACTGAGTATGTTGCTGGAGGTTAAAAAATAAAAAGCTGGTCAAACCCACTTCAATCAGTAGTTCAAGTAACCAGTTCATGGATCGTTTCCCTTTTCCTGGAAGATTCTTAATTCAAGCATAGTACAGTACATGACACCTCAGCAACTGCTTTGCAGACCTAAACAAAGGGATACAATGGTACTACTGCAGATTCTTGTGGAGAAATTTAGCAAAGAGCAAAGTTGGGTGATGAAGAAGTTGAAGTGAATTTGCTTCATGTTTGAAATATTGTGGGAAGAGACTTTTCCTCATACTGCTGTCATTGGGCTGTACTTGCTTTCCCCACGGTGATTCCGTAGTTGCTTGTATTCTTCCCTCCCTCAGTGCTGACAGATTATAAAGGAGTGGATCAGGTGTCCAAGTGAGTTGATTTCTTTCCTTTAATCTATGACATTACTTGAATAGGTGAACAAGCAGGAAAAAGATCTGGTGAGGGAGAAGGTGTAAAGCTTGTCTGAGGAGGAATTTGAAATGCATGAAAATCCTGAAACACAATACAGGCTGAATGGAGGGTGACTAATCGAGCTCCTGAGAGGCAGTGACATGACTGTCCTCTGTTAATGGTGAAATTCTCACTCTCAGCTGTGGCAGCAGGGAAAGATACTTAGTACAACCTTCTCAAGGTAGGCTGATTAAGCAGCACACACTAATGTCCTATTTTATAATTTAGTGAAATATTACCATAACACAAGTGGAAAAATGTTAGTTTGTTAGTGCCCACTGTAGAATTGAAAATTTCTACCTGTCCTCACCCCCAACCCACAAGCCTTAGAACACCTCTCTGGATGATATTGCTTTCTCTCACTGAAATGCTGAAATTCCTGTTCTGTTTTGAGTAACCAATTTCAGTTGTCTGTCTTCCCACTGGCAGGTCATCTTCATTTTCCAGTCCTAGCAACTGTCTGGATTGCTTTGATCCACTCTGAACGCTCTGTGGATGAGGCTGCTTGCATATAATAGTGGGTTTCATTTGCTGTGATGATTTCAAAGAGGATGTTGTCAACATCATACTTCTTGGCTACAAGAAAGAAATAAAAAAGTCAGCTATGAGAGAATAAAGTCTTGTGCTTAAAATGTTTCCTCCTTTAAACACTGTAAGGGGATCTCCTTCCTTTCTGCAGCTGAGCCTGATCAGGCTGTCACAAAGATTGGGTCCAAGATTGCAAGACTGAGCCAAGAGATAGCTCTCTGTCTCAGAGAAACCACCCATGAATTCTGCACGTTTCAACTTCAGGAGTCTCTGGCTAGTTGTTCTCAAATCACGGAAGGATCTTCAATCCTGCAGACAAGTCACATTCCCCTCCCATGATCAAGCTCAACTTACTTTGTCTGAAGGCCAGTTATCCTAACACAGGGATGGCATCTTCCTTTTGACAAGCCTTCCCCAAAGAACTGACAAAACACAAAATTCCCTGTTGCTGTCTTTACCACAGTATCCTATTCCAGTAATTCAGACAGAAGAGTTATTAGAATTACCACTTATTAAAATTGCCAAATCACTGTACATATATTGCCTTTGAGTGAAAAACACTTGTGATTTCAGGCAGATTGAAAGGATGTACCAAAAACTTATTACACAGCTCATTTGATATGGTTCCTTACTGTCTGGCATATCTTCCACTGCTGTCACCACGCAGCCTCTCAAGTGAATTGCTCCCAGTGGTTCTTCTCCCTGGGGAGGACATGAAATCAAAATGAAATGCAACACTTCTGAAACTGTTCACATGTTCATATCTGGCTACAGTTCCAGAACAGAAACAAAACCATTTTAATTAGTATGTTGCCCAGGAAACCAGGAGGTTCTCAGTCTGTGTGTGACACAGAGGGTGAGGGGTGTGGTAGGGGGAAGACTTGCAAATAAATAGGGAATCACTTTCGGGATTCAGAATTCAGGATCTGCAGAGTACTTAGCATGGGAACAGACACTCCTCAGTGTTGATTCTCTAGTGTGTCTAGGCTGCCTTTACCAAGGAGAACAGCACAGCATAAAGCATCCATAACCCACAACAGCACTGCTGCTGCACAGTGCAGGATGAGATAAAACTTGTGGGCTGAATCAACACGAATGCCAGTTTTTGAGGGGCACTCTTTGCCCATGGCACTGCTTCGTCCTTTCTTAGGGCAGGGTTTGGCCTGCTAGAATTACACAAGGAATGGAATGCCCTGTCTCAGCCTGACACAGGATATTTGCTCAACATTTGCTCAAATATAAGCTGCAAAATTACTGTTTTGAGGTCATTTGCACTGAGTTTGTTTTGATCAAGTGAGAGCACACATTAATTCTAATTAATCACAGATAAGAGGTGAGAGTACTGTTCAGTATTACTTGTCCCCAGGTCTGGGTGGCATTTGCCGCGCTGACTTGGAAGCCCAGAAACCATCCTTCACTCTGCTTTTTCAGAGAATGGCTAGCCCATAGGAGCACAGACAATCCCACTGTCCTACCTGGTACTCCCACATAAATACTCCATTCAGATATTTCTATAAAGGACTGGCTTTAAAACAAACAGGGAAATAAGCCAAGTATCTCTTACTCCAGCAGGATCATAGTAGTGAAGATATGCAGGATCATCTCTTAAAACAAACTTTCTCACTTTCCAGTTCTTCCTCCGATGTCCCTAGGAAAATTCCAAAATAGGAATGTCATTAACTGCTTTGCCTGCACACAGAGTTTACCCACACGTGAGAGAACATGCAAATACAAAAGGGAAAAAAGCTGAATATTTTGGACAGGAAATACTCACTGGACTAGGACTTTAACCTGGCTTTGCTACCTTCCAGTGTTTTGCACAACAACTGGACTATCACACTGTTCTCTTTTTATTTTTTTTTTTTGTACAAAGCAGAAGAGCTTCAACATGGGAGATTCCCCTAAACATATCATGTAGTCTGGTAGTTATGACATTCACATGAGGTCTGTGAGAACTGGGTTTAAATGCCTGCCAGAAAACACAGCTGCTAAGTGCCTTGCAGGAAGGTACCTTGAACTACTGGCAAGAATGAGCTGAAAGTCCTTCTCTCCCTGCAAAGATAACAACAAAAAAATGCTTATCTGGCTTAAGCACCCTGGAGGGCTCATGGCTGAGAAGCTCAAGCAGAAATAACACCACTCTCTGCTATAGACGTGGTGCCCAATTGCCTGTTTTCAAGACTGAAAAGATGGGTGTGGAAAGTCTAGATGTGCTGAAACCATTCTCAGCAGAAGCAGTGACCTTCCCAAGCAGTGACCCACAACCCACTGAGGGTGACCAAATGCAGATTAACACTGGTGGAAGATCGCCATGAATCACTTCCTCTCAGCATTTCAAAATACCAGTTTCTCCATTAGCTACACTGTTTGCAAGGAAGCTCTTGCTAACTAGGAAGATGTGAATGTGACAGGGTAAAAGAACAGCAAGATGTGGGTCTAATTTCTTCCATTGCTTTTGAGTAATCTGATTGAGCAAGAGAAATACACGTGAGCACCATCAAAAGGTTCTTAAGCCCTCGAGGACTATTCTAACAACAAAGGTTCAGATTCAATATTAGGAAATATTTTTTTAGAGAGAGGGTGCTCAAAGAGTGTAATCCATCAGGTCAGTCCTGAAGCAGTCAGGCAGTTGGACCAGATGATTGTTGTAGAGTCCCTTCCACCTGAACCATTCTATTCATTGAAGCATCCTGGTTTTGCCTTCAGTTCACTAATATCTACTTGCAATGGCCTTGGAAAGTAAGACACTTACCATGACATTCACTGATTGCTTAAAGTTTTGCTGGAAAGGAAGGTATACAGTTATCTTCTGTCTTACACATCAAATGTGCTTGAAAGCAACTCCTTTGCTCAGGTATGCTGAAAAAGCCTGTGAAAACCAGCAACTGAATCCAGTTGTGTGTCCAGAGGGACACAAGAGTGGTAGCCTTTTTACCCAAGTTCAGTTTTGCCTTGTACCAATGACTTGTCACATCTCCTGCATTAGCACTCTTTCCTAATTAAAGCTGTCAATTGTTTTATTTTGTGGTAAGAGTAATGAACCTTGTAATGCTGGGCAAGGCTCCTGCTGTCACGCTACATCAAGTGTTCTTTGTGCAAAGGCCAGAGGGAGAGAGATGAAACTTGTCAACTGTGGAGATGACAGGGTAGTTGCTCTTCTTTCTGAAGCTTCTGGGTGTAAAAGAGTAATCTTGTACCCACGTAGCATCATCCTAGTGACAGGATGGAGCACAGGCAATACTGACCTGTTTCAGCAAACATCCTTGTTTGACAATTGTGCCTCTGAATTCCTCTTTCAGGACCACGTCATCATCACTGGAATATCCCTCACAGAAAAACCCACTGTCTGGCTGCAAGGGCACAAGAGAAAATTCAGAAGTTACAAAGCCACTGAATGCTTATATACATGTACCAATATGGCTTCTCTTTGGCTTCCCTCCACCCTGTTTTTTTGCCACCAAAAAAAAAAAAGAAAAAAAAGAAAGAAAAAAGAAGAAAAAAAAAAATCAACCCTTATACTGGAAAAACCTCCCAGTGAAGTTGAGGAGCAATCCAAATCACTGTGGCACCATTTTGGTGAGAGGTAGGAATACAATTCTATGACACCAGCTCAGACATTGACCTGCTGTGGCCTCCTCACACCATATTGGTGTTGAACCGAACTAGAAACAACCCAAAAGCAAGCAGAGCACACATGGGATGCCATCACAAACTGTGATGGCCAAAAGGCTGCCTTTACCAGCAGTGCTCTGCTTCCATTGCTGCACAGCTAAAGTCTCCCTACCACGGGCATATTCTAGGAAAATAATTGAAGTAAAGGAAGAGTCCTTTTGTTGAAGCCAAGTGATTCTATGTGGTACATTTAAACAGAATTGTAGTATCAATTTACTTGGTTTTACTTGACAGAAGGCATACTTTTTTGTTAGCATTAAGTCAATAAGCCAAACGTCTTTAAAACAGTATTTGACTGTGATTGTGACATTGCAAGTTCTTCAAATCAACCCACAGAATATGAAGCAATAAATGGAAAAGGTTAGGTATGATAACAAGGACAGGTATTACTGGGGGCTATTAAAAACTTTTGCTTCTTTGCTCATAGGCAAACTGTGTGTGTGTGCACACTCACATGGAGTCAGATTTGATGGCTCTGCACAAAAATGGGTTTGTAGCTTGTGTCACTCTGTGAAGCCCCATGATAATGAATAACTCTTCCCTTCCACTGAATCATCAGGGAAACCAATGGTTAAATTCTGGCCACCAGTGCAATTACCAGGAACAGAGTCTAAGTTAAAAAGAACCCAGCTTGGTCTCAGCACTCAATTCGCACTTAGAAAGGTGTTAGAAAAAAAAAAAAAAGTCCCAGATACAACTATTAAAGTGAGCCAGCTCATTTTGAACATCACAAACACAATTAACATGGATCTCTCCGTTTCTGAACAATCTTTCCTCCAGGATTTAAGAAGCCCAACAGGAAGCCTGAGAAAAGCAGAGAAAAGTCTTGAGACAATAAAAAAAGCCACAGAATGCAATGCTCACAAAGTAATAGTAGGCATCGCTGAGATCTAAGAAGGGGGTGTCTGACAGCCCCTCAGCAGCAGCCTTGGATGTATCCCCGGCAGGCTGGAGGTAGCCTTCACTCAGGAGGGAAGAGGCGAGCAGGAGACCTTCTCTGCGGTTTCGGACAGAGTTGCTGGACACCAGCCAGTCAATCACACAGGTGCCTGGTTACAAAGCAACAAAATATCAGTCACAAACCAAGACGGACATGAAGAAGCCTAAAAATACAGAGGCAACAAGCCTACTCTGTCTGTGCATCAATCTCCTGAGAAAGGTTCTTAGCGGCAACAGAGGGAGCTAATCTGGGAAGGTTCCTGGGTCATCCAGCGAGGTACAGCCTCATTAAAGTTGGGAAAGACCTCCCAGATGATCAGTCCAACCATTAACCCAGCACTGCCATGTCCACCACTAAACCATGTCCCCAAGAGCTACATCTATGTGTTTTTTGAACACCCATAGATTTGACTTGGAGCAGAACAGGAATTACAATGTGACACTGTTTGGTGATGAAAAATTCAGAATGGAATAATTCTTCTGGAGTTAAGTGTTTCACACAGCAACCTACTCAAACGATTTACTTCAATCTTCCTGACACTGGTTAAATTCCATTGCTTACCGTGGTCATAACTGAACACTTTGTCAAGATTCATCTTTTGAGCACTTCCTGGGTTGGTCAAGAAAATGTCTGCCAGACTTTCTTCACAACTTCTGTGTTCTACAGAGCTTAGAGCTATTTTATCTATCTTTAGCTTCTCAGTGCTGTGCTCCCTTTATTGTATGGAAAAGAGGGACAAGAGCTCCTTACCTGTAAAGCAGTGATTGTACACTCTTTTATCTTTTTCCAGCTTCAACTCCTTTATTCCCTTTTCAGGATCTTTCATTGAGATGTACAAAGCACTGTGTGTAAAAAGAACCACAGCAACTGTTAGCAAATAAAAAGGTTTTGCCGGTTTGTACAACGTCGTCGTCATTCACGGGGTCTTTGTGTTTGGTTGGCACATGGCTCCCTGCAGAGCTGGGGCATGGCTCATTTTCATCTCCTGAAAAATTCAGGTTGAAAAGCCTGGAGGTATCACTACCTCACTGTCACAGCTGTGGGAGCAGAGGGTGGAGGGCACAAATGGCTCACCACATCCCCCTATTTTGAGAACGCAACTGCTTGTGGTGACTGTACTGTGAAGAGAGCAACACCCACTGCTGAGGCACGTTCCCAGGGTCCCACGGCCTCAGTGCAAGCAGGAGAGTTCACTGCTGTGCTCTGTGTTTCCCCCAAAAGGTCCTGAGCTGAGTAGAAAACCTGTCACTGTGACATTCCCAAAGCCTTCATGCTCTCAGAAGCCACAGGTAACATCAGTGAAGGACAAATATTAAATGTCACAGGCTAAGTTCTTTGGCCTGATCCTCTGATGAAACCTGTGAAGCCAGATTTAGTTGGATCTTGGCCCTGCAGTTTTACTGTCTTTTAAGGATCACTGCAGGTTTGTTGGTATCTTGGTATTTACTTCTCAGAGGCAGAAAATAAGTTGTCCTTCCCTTTTTAAAGTACTAACAGATGGCTTCCTGTGTGTGCCCTTTATCTTGTCTTCTCCCTTTGCCAGTTCCATGTTCTCTGGCAGGCACTGCACTTCCCTTACCATCCAAAAACTAGGCCAACATCAGCATTTCTCCGGAAAACAAACAAAGGGTCTAAAATATTTTTGGCATAAATTATATACTGTATAAAAACGCGTCTCCTGGCAGAATCACACTTCTGGCTGGGGGGTCTCCGCTTGCACTGCAGTGTGCCCAGAAATCTCCTTATCAGCAAAATCCTTTGATAAATAATCATGTTCTGGGTAAACGGTGACATTTTAAAAATGAGCTTCCCAATTCTGATTTCTGGGTCATTTCTGCCACACTGTACACACTGAAACTTTTAGTCTTTCAGAAATCATGAGGTATCATGGACAGACATGTTCATGGCTCTTCCAGACCAAAGTCACATATCTGCCAGCTGCCTGCAAAGGGAAGTACACAGGGGAGCAGAGCTATGAGAACAAACCTCAGGTTGATTGTTTCAGGCAGTCTGATAGATTTTCTTGTGGATTTTCTGGCAAACCTTTGGCCCCCATCTATGCAGCGAATTGCTTTCTTGATATCCCGCACCCAGGCATCTCTTTCCTCCAGGTAGGCAGCTTGAAAGAAGTGGTCCTGCTGCTTGGCTGCAGTGAGCTTGAAGACAAACTGAAATGATAAATTACGTGGTTTTTTTAAACAAAGTTATTTTGGTGTAGCCAGTTGGTCATGATTAACCAAGTACCTCCATGACACACAGCCTACCTGTGCCTAAGGGACTATGGAAAGTGCCTTAGAGCCACAGTTAAACTATAAAAGCTCTGAAGAAAAACATGAACAAGCACTGCAGGTAACTGAATCCTTTTGTTACTTCCATGGGAGTGATCCTGACACTGCCAGTACAGCCAAGGTGAGTGGCATTGATAAGGTGCTGATTGTAACTTTTGCTGGGAAGTTCAACACGGCTGAAAGGCTGAAGCACTCAGCCCTTGCAGAGTTACAATGGGTGTAAATTTGTCTTAGTGTTTAGAGACATGTGAACAGTCTGAAGGAGGAAAACTACCCCACATCAGGTTACTCAGCTACTGACTCACAAGGAGAGAAAAGGTCACAGTCACACTGGAGAGTAGCTGAGTACATTTGCAGACTAGAAAACATTTAAGGGCTTAGTAGAGAGATGATACATCCAACCCTTGGCTAGATCTTGGGATCACTGCCTATAAACACACTACCAACAATGAAAAGACTGTATTTCCCAAAAATGAGAAAAGATCTTTTAAAGGTAGTTGTAAAGAGAAAAAATAACACCAACCTGAAAAAAAAACCCAAACAAATGAAAAAACTACCCCATAAAGTTCACACTTATTGAACTCATTTCCATTCAGTGATCTTTTTGGATGGAAAATCTAGATCTAATTTCTAATTATTCAGGCAAGAGGGTTTCCACTTCTAAAATATAGTTCCCCCATAAGTGAAACTAATTTGTTATGTAGTTATGCTAGAAAACCAGCCCACTGAATCAGCCTACCGAAGCCCTCTTTTGTAAATGGTACATTTCTGAACATCCCTAACATGCATCTTCCAGATTATGGCCAACAGGAAAAATTCTGACACCCTGAAATTGTGCATAAGTCCAACTGACTTTCATGGAAGAGATTTCAAACTTACAAAGCAGTGGTTAGTCAAAAATCCAATTCAGACAGAAAAGTAACCATTTTTTGTCTGACAATGCTCAGATTTCCAGCAACACCCATCTTTTCTATTATGCAGTAAAGAGCTACATACTGAAAAACAATATTCATGAGAAAAGCAAACAGATCTCTGTAAATCCCAATATCCAAGTCATGCTAACACACCAGATTAACGGAATGAAATGTGGAAGCATTAAGACATTTTTTACCAGAAGAAAAATTAGCCTTCTCAAGAGGCTGAGAAATAACTTACAGTGAAACGCTAAAGGAGAGTTTTAATTTCCAGTACACAGAGGAGACTGGGAAAACCATTTCTCTTAACTTTAGCTTCCAGAAAGCCAGGCCACTAAGCTGGACTTCAGGCTTCCTCTGAAACTGGTGAAGAGGTTGAGTCTCCTATCCTAGAAGTGACCACGCCTCTCTCTGTTGATATGTATGTGTTTGCACTTTTGAGAAAATTAGACCATACAGGATAACTCTATCCAAAGAAAAGCCATGGGGAAAACAGAGAAAGCTGAAGTATAGCAGAATTAACATAACGTTAAGCAATGATAAAACACCAAATCAAAAATAGTGAACAGTGGTGAATGCATTTTGAAATATAGTCTCAAAATATGGAGTTGCAGCCTCTTCTGGACAGGCTTTATCTCTGATTAACAAATCCAGCATTGCTTCTTTTCCCCTCAGCACCTACATTTTGCAGCTGATTTACTAAACAAAACATGTTGGTGATGTGCTCTAAGCTTTCCAGTGAGGCTCTGGTGCAGGTACACAAGCTGATTCATAAAACTGAAATCTAACCAGAGAAATATAAAAGTCAGCTCGTGGCCCAATAGTCCATGCTCCAAACTGGGCCCAAGTGAGACTAGACTTAAAGCTTACCTAATGAAAATTACCCCACTTTTTGCCTTACAGAACTCCTGTCTTAAAAACATACTTTCATTTTTAGCCATATGAAATCAATGTATGGAAACCACCTAAGAACCAGAATTATTCCCATAAGAGGAATAACTGTATGCTTTGACCACACAACCAATGAGAAGCCAGGATGGAATGCAGAGGCACTGGATTCAGCTGTACAGTAAAGCTGCAAACTGTAAGATGCAAAAATGAAGATACTTTGTTTTGAAGAACTATTTGTAGAAGAAGAATATATGTAGATGTTCTCAAGAACAATCCCAGCAATGGCTTTGCTCATGTGAATGAGCATGCTGAAGTTTTGACTGTTTGAGTGATGCAAATTTTAAGAGAAAATACATCTCCAGGGCTATTGGTCTATGGACTTCTGAAAAACGTCACCAACTCCATAAGGAGGATCTGCTCTGACACCTGCTGAAGTTGTTTGGATTGTTCCCACTAACTTCAGCAAATCCTTCATCAGATCTTACTTATGGAAAGGTATTTCAGGTGCCTCAACCTCAGATTGTTCCTTTTGCCTTTATTCTCCCTCAGAAAAGACCCCAGCAACTAAAATGAAACATAATGTAAAGCTCATTAGGTGAACTTATAATGTCAAATGAAGCATAATGTTAAACTCATTGCAGCCAAGGGAATGATCCTCAAAGACTTTGTCACTTTTCCACACAGATGAAATGCATCTTCTGCAGACTGGTACATCAGCAGCCCCTTGGGCAGCTGAGGATCTCTCTCTCTTTGCCTTCAGCAGACACTGGATATTTCAGACCTCTCTGCCTATTTTATGGAATGCACATATGCTGGTGAATTATTTTTCCTTTATTGTTTAGTGTGTTACTGTTAGTGACATTTCCAAGCAACTATTATGGACCAGTACTGATGGCTGTGCCTTTCTGGGAGTTAAAGGAAAAAAACAAAACCTCAGACAAAATTGTTTGGAAATGAATGGTTTCTGAGAAAAACTTAATTTCTCCCATTACAATGTAGGATATGTGATACTCTTGAACACAGTACCCTTCTCCCCATGCCTCATACCTCATGTATAGAGTAAGGAGTGCTGTGCTGAGGGTTGTTAATTAGATAATTAGCACAGGATTAACAGCAATCTTTATTCTCTGTGCCATCCTTTTCTTGTACTACCTCAGTATAACTTAAGAGTCCCTTTCTCTCAATGGATGAGACTCATTAAGAATCAAGGTGGGGTTTTTCATACAAATCTGAGTTCTGCACAAAGGAAAAAAAAAGAAATAAGTTGAAGAAAGAAAAGAGGGCAAAAGGAAAGCCAGCAGGTTCAAATCTGACACGACTGATTCCACTTATCACAAAACCTAAGGACAGGTCTAATTCTCCTCTCTCAAATGAGAAGTGAAGTTTGCTGTTTCATGCAGTCTCTCAGACTTCTTTTCCTATTTTTCTAATACTCTCAGAGACTTCTATCTTCAGTAAGGCATCCCTATGGTAAATTGCTTTAAACTGCAATTAGATAATTTTCCAGATTCTGAGGGACCCCTTTGTCAGAGGAATTCCTGGGGATGTAGTGCCTATTTGATGAAATCAAGTTGACAAAATAACAAATTACTGACTAAAGGTACGATTCTTTGCTCATACTAGAAATTCTGTTTTACCAACAACTGTTTTTCAGGAAGCCTATAGCAAAATATGTGTGTCATAGCATTTATCTCCTTCCTGTCTAAGCAAGCCAGTTGTTGCTCCTGGACAATAAATGCTTCCACTGCTCATGAAATGGTTTCCCACAGCTTTATTCTGTGGCAGTTTGATTTATATTTAATACAGGAATTTGTTGACATTCAGCTGCAAAGTGTCCTCACACCAATAAAAATTAGCTCTGCTCTCTGACAGACCCAGAGATTGAAAGAAAATCCAAAATAATAAAAAACACCCAATGCTTTCTGAATCAGTCCTCTTAAATTGCCTTCAAGTCGAGCACTACACAAGTCCAAGCCTGCTTGTGACTTTCTGAGACAAGTGAGAATCACCACTGGGATGATTGCAAGGAATTTGTGGCCACCAGCCTTTTGCCCCCTCAGTGCCTCCAGGGGCATAAATATACTGTCAAACCTTGTCACAAAATAAGTACTTACCATTCTTCTGCCAAAATCTTGGCATAGGCTATTTATAGAACTCCCTTTCAGTGGGATCATCCCTTTGGGACTGCTGTCAGCCTTCCGTTTGTAGAATTCAATTCCATCTTCTAAGAGCACGACCCACATCGGCTTCCAGGTATTAAACATGCTGCCCTGCAACAATAAATCACTGTGCATATTATGTTCAATTAATCACTCTTCACATGATATCCAATGAAGATATGACCTCCCAGGAAGTGTCTGGCTGATGCTGAAGTAACTACAGTCAGTGTCTCAAGGGAAACGTACCACAACCACACCCATCTTACATGAAGATAAATGTTATTATCCGTCTTACCACCACTAATTTCCCCTTGCAGTCACCCCAGACACGAGTTTTTCCAAAATTGCATTGCAGATGTTTCTCATCAATATCAATTAGCCCCAGCCACTGTGGTCAAGATGATGTACTATGAACAACCCTCAAAATTGCTAAATGTGAACTGGCACATTAGGACTGCAAGCATACTGTGCTGTATTTAGGACTTGATGCTACAATAGTCAGTCATTGGGGCTTGGCTGTCTGATAAGAAAGCACACATCCCAGAGGATTTCTAGCCATTTAAGAACAAACTGTAAGAGTAATGAGTAGTTTAAGGGCCTGAGGCCTCAGACCTCCAACTGCAGTGGTGAGGAATGGAAGGGCTTCATTTCATCTTTTAAAGCTTTTGCTTCCTATTCCTGAAACACAGCTGTTAGGTGCAAGAAATACAGAAATAAAGACAAGTCTGGACTCTACATAGAGTGAAACACACAGCAAAACTCTCAGAGACTGAAACAACCTGTTTCTCTGTGTTGAGCACAATTAACTGCTAGAATGACCAAGACTTTTGCACTCCAGCCACACAACCTGTCTGGTCCTGCCTGCAGCCAGCTTCAACAGCGGTCACAATCCCAGATACCCAGGTGACTTAGTGCTCAGCCAAATGAACATTTAGATATTCTGAAAACCAACAGTTCCCCTGAAGACTTAATCAAAGCACAACTAGCATTGGTGGGCCCCAAAACAGAGGCCGTTCATCAAAAATATTAGCTCCCCTTGCTCTTTCTGTTACAAAGAGAGACCCAAGTTTTTCACTCTAAATCAGACCTTACATTCAATTACAGGGTAGGGATGGAAAATAATCAGCCAAGATCTTATTAAAAGCAGGACCTGGACCTTCTTCCAGCCTCTGCAGCCCTCACTGGAAGCAGAAGATGCCTCACAAAGAAAAGTTGCTGTTCTGGGTGTTCTCTCAAAACTCAGCTGAAGGGAGAAACAACAAAAAGGAGTTTCATCTGGGTACCACATGTGGGTTGAGTGCTGTTTTCCTTTGATTATTTTTCTTTTTTTTTTTTTTAATAAGTCATAAAAATTTACCATTTTTGAGAGTCCAATTTTGCCCACTGGGTTGATTTTCTGCTAAAAAAATCAATTAAAATGACAAGACAAGAACTGCTGTGAATTCCTCTTGTTTGTGGGTTTACCACAGGTTACAATATTTCTACTCATAACCAGACAAGTCCAGTACTTCCTGAAGGCTGGACTCCGACATGCTCTGCCAGTGGAAGCCACTGCCAATTTCAATAAAAATTAAGGCTTTATCCTATGGGCTGTACCACAAAAGACTACAGAGCAGTGGGGCAGCAACTGCCTTCCCAAAGAAGGGATGTGCCCATGACCCCACGCACTGTCTCCAGGCCAAGGTGATCCAGCCTCTCTAATCTCACTGTTCTTCCTTGATGTTTAACTCAGTTAAGTGCAATAAAGTAGGCTGTGGCTATTTCCAGCTGTTACCTGTTTTGCCAAACTTTCACAGCATGTTTCCCTACGCCTCCCCAGCCTGTTCAGAGTTAGTTTTCTCTTCCACTCAGTCCAAAACTGCCCACTTACCTTCTTAACCAAGTAGCCTTCCCTTATGCGCGTCGGTTCTCGCTCCATGTCTTGGGCAATCCTGCTCTCTAACAGTTAAAGTTCCTCTGGCAGCACAGTATGTGGGCTGGGGCGTTTTTACAGTACAGCTGTGTCATTTCACAAGTTCCTCTGACTGCTAATCACAAGCCCATTTCCTCTTACAGACCAAGAGAGATAGGGAAATGCAAGAAGCACGTGTGTATTTATAGCCTGCCTCTGACAGCACAGGCAGCAGCCTGACAAAACACTCCATCGTATCAAACGCAGCCAGCCTTGATGACAGAATCCTGGGAAATTAAATAAGCACTTTGGTGCTCAGGCCCGCTCTGCAAATACATGAACTCTACCAAAACAAAAACAGAGTACTGTGCTGCTGCAGTGTGTGCCCAAAGTATCTCAGAGACAGGTTTCCAACTCACCAGTGCTCTCACGTCATCCTCTCCTCAAAATCTCATTCCCAGCAGGTGAGCATGTGGAGTCTGCCAGCGAGTTGGAGGGTCCTCACCTGGTTAGTGAGGATGCACCCTCTGCTGACACAGGAAATGTGTTTGTCAGACTTGATCAGTTTTGGAGGTCGGTGCTGAGGCCTCCCAGAGAGGTCAGCTGTCAAACGGGCGTAAATGGGTTAGACCAGAGCATTATATAAAGCACCGACCGCAAAGTGTCACTTTCTACAAGCATCTCTTACTTGCTGCAGAGCTCCTTTGGCTATATTTGGGAAAAGACAAGGCAAACCCATAATTTTTTTATATATATCAGAGTCACAATCCCTCTTCCCCATACAGAAGGAAGTATGGGAGCCAATAAGGAAAATGCTCCATTGGCAAGAGCAAAGTGTTCTCCCAAGCACAAGACTACAAATCACTTTTGCAGCTAAGCCCATTCAGATGAGGGTTGAGCCCAGGGTGACTCCATCTGTCACCTCTGCCACTTGTAAAGATCCCCAAAGAGGGACTTTTTTCAGACAGAAATTCCGGTTGTCCATTTGCCTCTGTGTGTCTCAGCCTTTACTCAGAAGTACACAGAAGTTTGACAAGCCCTGTGATAGAGGATCAGAGGGTTAGCAGAACCCTCAGAGATCTTTTCTAGACATTCCTCACTGATGCCTATGTAGTGGTTCTCCCACAGACGAGACTCCACTCCTTCCTTGATTATCTATATTAGTGCTTTACTATCCCAACTGCTGGATGTTTCTCCCCACTGTCTGAATAGAGATTTTCCTTTCCAGGCCTTTCTCGACTAGTTGTTGCTCAAATTACACTTCCAGTCTCTCTGCAGGCAGAGCATCTGTCTGCACCACTTATCTCAGGGGAAACACTTTGAAGTGCATTCTGTCCAAAGCACACCTTTTTGTGATGATTTTATGTACCACTACATGTTTGAGGTTTCTAAAACCTGCAATCTCAGTAAATTGTTCCTTTGCTCATGTAAATCATGCTATTGTGAGGATCTGACTGCTTAAAGGCCCTGTTGCTGACCTAACCAGTCATCCATTAGGCACTTTGCAAATCAAGGACTCCATATATGCTTTCCAATTCTCTGGCTGTCAAGTGTACTTGAAGTCAACAAACAGATTTTAAAATTATTAGAGACAGAAACTCACACAGAGCTAATAAAAGCTTCATGCTCTTCGGAGCTAAAAGTAAAAATTTACCATTAAAAAGTGATCAAAAAAGCTTGTGTCACATTTAAAGTAGAGAATTTGCCTACCACTTCCAGAACTTGGAATGAAGATGCATTCCCAGAGAGGAGATGATCTAGCTGTATTCTGAGTTATATATGAAGGCTCCCTTCATTTCCCATAAGCCTTAAAATTATGTCTGATGGACTGAGGAGATTGTAGACTCCTCCTATACAATGCCACTGGTTCCTTTTGCTTAAGAAGGTGAATTATTTCCTTCATCTTCCCTTTCATTTCAGTGGTTTCATCTTTGGGAAAAGGTATTTTTTCTTTTTCCTGATTAGATAACCCAAAAATACAGGTCACAGGCAACAATTCAAATTAAATACCTTTCACAGTGTGGCTGGAAGCCTAAATATCCCTTTATTAGCTGCCTTGAGGCCATAATGCTACAGAGCCCAGAGCAAGGATTAGAGACCAAGAATGGGATCACAGTTAACTCCTTCTGTCTCTAGTTTGCTTCCCCCTTCAGGCCTGAGGAAAAGAAACCACTTTCCCAGCTGGAAGGGCTTATGGTGAGCAAAGTCAAAAGAATATGCTGGCATTTTCCTCCCTGCAGGCATCCTTTCCCCAGATTTTCCTGCTCACCTGCTCCTGCTGACTCAGTATTTGTGCTGAGTCAGGATGAGTCAAGCCCACAGGATGCAGGGAGAGCCCTGCATGATAAATTGATGATACAAAATGACCAGGGATCCTCTCCAATAGAACGTCTATATGACCTTATAATAAAAAGGGGTTTAAAGCAAACAGAAAAGATTACTGACTCCTCAATTTCACAAAAGTTCCATTTCTCATTTACCTGCATGAAAAGCCCTTGGAGGTGTGCAATATAATTTTAAACACAGCCAAAGACTCAAGAATTTATCATTAACTACCTAAGCAACTCAGTGTCAAAGCACAAAATCACCTCCATCCAACATTAGCTGAAAGCAACCACTTTTATAACACTTCTTTGCTCTATGTTGTTTCTATTTCATCTTCAAAGCTCAGCTCGTCCTTTTGCCCTTCCACCTTACACATCTGGAGCAATCCTTTTCTTTAAACGCTGAGGTTTGGTTTCATTTGTCACATGCCACCCCCCAGGGGAGTCAGCACTTATCTCCCCCCAGGCAGAAACATGCTGACAGCTAAATCACTCGTGAGGCAAAATGGTCCTTAACCACACGGTGGCCGTGGTGGGTACGAAGGACAGCTTGGATATGGATGCAGATCGTCTTTGTCCAGCCGTTCCTGAAAAGCAGCACCAGGCATAAGATAAAGGAAGAGCTGTATTTCTTCTAGCTCTCCACAGAGGGGAGGAAGAGCTTTGTCTGGCAGAAAGACAAAGTAACCTGCAACATGGAAACCTGCTGTAACTTACCTTGCTCTCCCAATTCCTGTCTGAAGTAGGTAAAGGTGTGTAATGTTGGATGAGCAGCATTTGTCACAGAAGCACAATCTGCAACAGAGCTGAGTATCTTAGCTCAGTTTACTGGTGAGCAACCTGTTCTTGTACAGGAGATCTTGCTGCTGTGTTTCCTCAGAATATTCTGCTTTGTTTCTGCTACTTCACAATCCAAGCTCCCTCAAGCATTAAAAAAAAAAAAAAAAAAAGTGATCAAACACATTTATCTGAGCAAGGGATCTATCAGAGTGAGTGTTTATATAGAAAATTGAAACCATATCTTTTGCAAATAAATATGACAGCTGCAAGGAAGGCAGGCACTTCCTCAGCTTGTTACATCAGCTTCACTGCTCTCTCCATGAGCCCTTGCAGAGCTGGTTCAAACATGTTTGCTGTACTGTAAATGCCATAAGCTCACCCCATCTGTAACAGAGCACATGAGCTCTCCATAAATATGCAGCACTACAGCAAATCAAGTTGCATTTCCAAGGGAAATTATAACAAATGCTATATGTTCAAAATTATTGTCTGCACAGGAAAAATAATATATACAAGTGATTTGCAAAGGAGATAAAGACTGTCCAGCTTATAGTTCAGTAAAGCTCTTTCTCTCTTCTGCACAGAGACAGAGGGCTCAAAAGAATCACAGTATGAAATTAAGAGCTGACAGGTGCAAATCTCAGCACAATTCCCTTTACAGGGAATCACACATGGCTATTTTTAGTGAATGAAATATTGTGGCTTTGCATACCCTACTTGAAAAGAAACCCCACATTGCAACATTTCCAAATTTAGTGTTATGTTAAGAAATTAATTGAAGACGGTATAGCCCATGTCACCTTAGAATCTAAATGCTGTGGTTTGACTGCCTTAAATGAACCATCTTGATTTGACCTCAAGGCACATTTTATTTATTTAATGATTGTGGAACTGTGCAGCAGGATTAATGTATTAGCAAGAAGGTCTGCCTGCATAAATGCTAATACTGAAAAGCTTATGCAGTCAACATATTATCATATCTAGAAAGATCATACTCAGTGGATGCACTCAAGAGACCAAACTGATTTCTCCAGAATGTTTTCTAGACAACTTGGACCAGCACAAAACATAGGTCAGGGCTTATCTGCACATTATCTCTGACCTTTCACTGAATGCATCCAGCTCTACCCTACAGTAGTTCCTCATCAGTGATAAGTGCAGGTGATATTGACACAGCAGGGAAGGTCCAAGCACAAGAAAGAGGTCTTGGAGGACGTAGCTGCACTGTGAGAAGATTCTCCTAGCTTTAGGAAGACACGGAGAGATGAGAACTGCTGGCTACAGCTCACTCAAATAACATTCCCTTCAAAACCACTGAGGATTTTACCAGGGCACAGGTGAGTGCTGCAATCTTTCTGCTCCGAGGGGAGGGAATTAACTTAATGTACCTTGCTGACACTACACAACAGGTTGGGAAATGTCAGGTACCAGAGGAACAAAAAGTAGATTTGAAGGACTGAAAAACAAAAAACCCCAACATTCCCCCCCACCCCACAAAAAAAACCAAAACAAAAAGCACAAACCAGAAAAAGCAGTTTTGTAGTTTATAAAGACATTAAATATTCCAACCTCACCCCTCAAATGCAGGTGTAGAGAATGGAGGAACAGACACAAATTTATCTCTTGTTCCTGAAAGTAAGTTACTGCTGTGGCTTAGGAGAAATAGGACCTCCTCCTAAGTCTATGATATGTAATCTATTTAGAATTTTGTAAAAGTCAGCACATTTACTCTTCATCCACAACTTCTTCTTCCTGCCAGTATTTTCCTCTCTACACAATATCAAACAATTAATATCAAGTAACTATGTAGCAGCCTGGGGGCTGGAACCCACAGAGAATCCCCAGGGAGACTGGAAGCACGTGGGTTTCTACAGCCAGTACACATCCCACAGCATCAGGCACCTCCATGGGGATGGGCTGAGGTCAAGCCAGGTGGTCAGTCTGCAGGTCAGGATCCAGGGCATCCACGGCTGGATATGTCTGTAGCAGAGCTGGAGAGCAGCAGCCCTAAGCATAATTCAGGAAGGAGCTAAAACTCAGGACTGAGCTAAAATAGGGCCCATGGGCAGCCCCAGGTGAGGCTGGTCAGGGCTGTTAAGGCGGGCAGCAACAAAATGAACCTTGCAGAAATACTTACCAAAGGCAATCCCTCCCCTTGATCTACACTAATAAGGAGCATCTGGTAGGATCACATAAGTAAATGTAGTAACACATGTGAAGTTATTGGATCGATAAAAAGAAAGGTCTTGCCTAAATTTAAAGTTCCTTCTTCATAAGTGTTCTACTCTCACCATGTTTCACTTTCACATGGTAGAACAGTTGCTCAGCCTACGCACACACAATCCATAATACGATGCTTTTTTTAGTTGTCCCTCATGTTTTCCACTTTCTCCCAGTAGTGGTCTGGAATAAAGTCACAGCCTGAGCTGTGTCCATAGAAAGATGATCATTCAGGCAGAAATAATAAGTGAAAAAAACCCTCGTTATAGATCTGACCTCTCATGTACTTGGGAAACTAATTGCAATCAATGTCTTCAGCTACACACAATTTACTACAACATGATACGTCTGGCCCATGAGGCAAGTAAAGCTGATCCCTGGCAATGGCCATCACTCTTCACACACCACTTCAAGTGACACTATCAGGTTCCCCACGTGTGAGGCCCCTGTGATTTTGTACTGAATAACATTTAAACTTACAGAAGTGGGAATTGCTGCAAGCACAACTTCCAGGAAGCCACAAAGTGCAGTAGTTTCCACAGAATGTAACAAAATACGAGAATTCTCTGAGAGTCAGGAAATGAGGTAAGGAGAAATGCACATGTAGGCACTTTTTTTTTTTTTTTTTTTTTTGTGAAGATGCAAAGTTCTGAGAGGCAGGGATCATGTCCTGCCCCTATCTTTGCAGAAACCTGTCTGGCTGAACACATTATGAAGCCTGTGTTTAGCTGGATACCTAAGTAAGGCAAACACAGTAGGATTTTTTTTTTTTTTCAGAGGCTTTCAGCAGAGTGTATTATTTTGCTTAGTGTTCATAAGAAAATCAATTCACTGAGTAACTTACATGCACAAGGGAATGCAGCTGGGCAATACTATATCTTCCATTTGGCTTAGCAATACATTTCACCACCATGTGTACATCCTAGCCTTAGAAAAGCAAATACATCAGATACAGTGCAACATGTAGCTGTGAAATTCTCCTAACAAAATAATTAACTCTGACACGGGACTTGGGCCACTTGGGCCATATTTTTTTGCTTGGACATTATGGCAGCCATAAGGATGCTGTAGTTTTAACAGCAAACAAGAACAAAAGCAAAAATGGAAAAGATGCACAAACATACTCCCAGGTTAAAAGAAATCTCTGACTGTTAGATGGGAATGAGACGGATGGAGATATGAATTATTGCACAACTTTCAGTTTCAGAGATCTTTGTCCTTGAACAAACGGTACCAGCCATAGGTAAAGAGTAGCATTAAAGATATGAGATTCTCATCTGATACTGTAATTACAGTGGGATTTTTTTTCCCCCCTCTTCATTTGAATAAGAAGATTGCAATTAAGTGATTAAAAAAATCCCGGCAGAAGCCCTGATCTGCTGATGTTGAGGCAGCAAGACACTGACCCTCAGCCGGGGGCATGGTGACTCTGACAGTCAAGAAAGTGACCCCTTAGTCCAGGCACGGTGACTCAACAAAACCCTTTTGCCGCACAGGGGGAGAGAAGAGCCACAGAACTACAGAAACGCGTCTTTGCTCTCCGCCCTCCCCTCTCTCTCGGGCAGCTCCGGCTCCTGCGTATCGCTGCGCAGATGCTCCAGCAGGGCTCTGTCAGCCCAGAGGGCTCGATCAGCCCTCGGAACGCGTTTCCCTGAGTGATTTCGAGGGGGGGGTTCATCTGGATGAGGGGATCTGCGGGATGATTTGAGGGCTCCCTTCGGCCGGAGGAGCGCTCGGGGCTCTCCCCTCCCGCGCCGCTGTCCGCGCCCGTGGTGCTGAACGGGCCCCTCGCGTTTCCTCCGCGACCAACCGCGGGATTAAGGCTGCAGTAATCGGGGCCGGATTAACTCCCTGGAAACCGCCTGCAATCCGAGCAGCTGCAAATGTCCCCCAAACCGGGATATGGGGCGGGGCGGGGCGGGGCGGGGTGGGGTGGGGGGGTGGTGAGGGCATCCACCGCCCAGATGCTGCGCCGCGATTAGTGGGAGAGAAAAAAATAAATAAATAAATCTAGTATCTCATCCGCTGCTTTTGGGAAGGGCTGGGCTGGCTGGGATCCGGCAGCCCCTCCTCTTCCTCCTCCCTCCTCCTCTTCCTCTCCTTCGCTCCCGTCCAAGCCGCCTTTTCCGCGGAGGGGGCGAGACGCGCGCAGAGCCCGCAGCCCCCCCTCCGGCCGCAAGCGATGGGCGACATCCCCGGCCTCGTGAAAATCAGCGTCTCCCTCAAAATCCAGCCCAACGACGGGGCCGTGTACTTCAAAGTGGACGGGCAGCGCTTCGGCCAGAACCGCACCATCAAGCTGCTGACCGGGGCCAAGTACAAGATCGAGGTGTCCCTCCGGCCCGGCACCGTCCAGGCCACGTAAGTGCGGCCGCCCTGCCCGGGGCGGCTCCCCCGACCCTGCCCTGCCCTCCCCTCCCTCTCCTCCCCTTTATTTTTAGAGGTTTAATGTTTTTTCCTGGCAGGCTGACAGCGCGGGATTGCCGTGATTTCTGCCTCCCCGCCCTTTTTGCCTTGGTGGCCCCGTTTCTGTGTTCCCGGCCAGCTGTTCCCGGTGTTTGCCTGGCTGGCTCGGGAGGGAGGGAGGAAGGGAGGCTGCGTTTGGGAGTCGCTTCCTTCCCTCTCTCTCCCCACCTTCTCCCGGAGATTTTTTCGAGTCCAGCTCCTTTTCTCCCTCCTTCCCCGCGGTTTTTCCTGGAGGAAGAAGCCCCTGCAGCATGCCCAAGCCTCGCTGCAGCTTGGCAAAGCAGGGACTGGGACCAGA